TACATTCAATCTTTTCTTTTCAATTTAAAAAGTAATCCACATCCTGGCATCACCATTATTATCAAAAACTGTTCACATTACACTATTTACTTAGCAAGGATTAACATGATTGAATATAGAGAATTGCATTTAGAGCATAAACAAAAAATAATCATAGTTACTCCAGCATTTTTAGCAAAATTTGGTTATCTAGGTCAACTTTATGTTGAAAGTAGTAAGCATTTAGATTCATTCCCCAAAAAATTTAGAGAAATTATAAGTTTTTATCTGCCTCTCTGGAAAAATGTAAAATTAGATTTCACTAGTATACCCCCAGAGTGGTTTAAAGATAGCATTTACCCAGATTTAGCACAACATAGGATTATTATTTCTTTTGATGAATTACTTAGTCCGGGAGAATCAGCACGAACATGAATGCCTACCAAACAAGACATCCAACAATACAGAGGAGCAATAATAGCCGAGCAACAGTTATTTAATAATGATCGTTTGACCCTCCTGTACCAGTCCAAATTTATCAAGGTGTATTCAAAATTCACAGCCAGGAGACCAGATGATATATATGAATACAGGATCAGCACTACAGGAGCAAAAGTATTTGACGAAATATATAATCAGATAACAGAGCAGATTGCAGCACAAGATAGTGACAACTCATACTGGAATAGCTTGGGAGATGAAGAGCTACACAACATAGATAACATGATGGATGCATGAAGACCACGTGAAGAATCCATCCAGCATAATAGTCGCCATACGGCCAGTACAAAGCAACATATGAAAAGAAGAAACATTTTGGTTTCATCCGGCTAGCAGAAGCAGAAGGGTTCCCTAGGAAATCTAGATATGAATAAGGGCATTATTGTCCAACCACTTTAATTTTGTCCTTATTTATAAATACTATACCCATTTTGGGTTTATTTATAAGTCTCCCTCAGAATAATTTGCAAGGGCTTGTAGTTCAAATGTCATTTAACTTTCTATTTTTAGGTTTTTTTTTTATAAAAAAAATCAAAAAATATTATAAAAAGATAAGAAAAATATTGAAAATTGCTACAAATTCCTTACAACATTATCCTCGACTATCAAACCCCAAAAATCAATTTTGGCATAGGGAAATTGAAAAATTATGATTAGTGGAAGAGTTCGAGGAAGTTTAATGATCTTCAAGTTAGTGTCTAATTTGATTTGAGAATTTTGTTTAAAATTTTCATATAAGTCAAAGTTGGATTTTAGAGCTTCAAAGATGAAAATGTCACAAGGAGTTTGTAGGAATTTTGTGTGTATTTTTGATTTTTTTGTTCTTCTCATTGAACAATATATTCCAATTGAACATCTCACTGCTAAAATGAAATAAGGTTTAGCATCTCTATACAACATGACTTAAAATATTTGGGGAATAACATCTTATAGGAGTATGTGCCTTGTGAGTGGTTTTGTGAATCTGTTTGGCATGTTTTCTGAAAGATTTGTGAAGACCTGTCGCTGTCATGATGGTAGAATATGAATGAATCTGTAAATGGAATGTTGTCATGGGAGGAAGAAAATCTGGTATCCATAATGCAATTTCCTTACACAGGTTACAAGAACAATGGTCAATCAGTTCGGATACATGCACGAACAATACAACAAACCTTCAACCCAAAACAAAGAAAACCAGTTCAATGATGAAAAACATACATGGACAATACATCAAATTTATTGACACAATCAGCCAACTACAAAACGGGATGAGAGCTGGTGGATGCATAAATGTCAAATTCATCCATCAAGGACACGATCGGACTAGATTGTGTGTTCGGCATGCTCTGAGTTGTGTCGTCATTGTTTCCGGGGAAAGAACTGCATCATTACAACACAGAATGAGAACTCACTATGAAAGCACTCATGCGGAAGATTAAAAAAAATATTAATATGCATTTCGGACTAGTTAATCAATGTAGGACAATTGTGTCTATCATGATCAACCGACCTACATTCGATACACCATCGTTTCAATTGGTCCATTGCCTTCTCTTTGCCTTTCACTCTTGCTCGAAGTGGATCCATTAAAGTAACTGTTTGAGAATCGCTGGCCACAGCTTTACCACTTCCTTGTGCGTGCCCAATTTCCTGCCCCATAGACTCTATCTTTTCCTGCACACCCTGTAAAGTTTCTAAGAGTAACTTCCCAGCTTCCTCGGACATTGATGCAGAATCAATTAGAGTAATGGCTAGTTTAGACAAGGTAGATCTCCTCATTAAAACACACCGATCAACGTGATCTTTAATTTTAATGGCATCACGATCAAACACCAACGCAGACTTCGTTCTTTGCATCCACCTTTTTAATAAATACTTATCTGGCAAATATTCGACTTGCTCATGTTTTAGAAAAGCCAATACATGCCTGCATGGAATTCCACAAGATTCCAAGTGTTTGCAACTGCAATAAGCTAGATCAGCGGATACATCATACACAACTTCTTTGACTTTAGAAACCCCGGGTTTTATCCTCTCAGTTACTTTATAAACCCTTTGTCTATCATCCGACGTTGTACATTGAAGAAAACATTTAAGGCTCTTCAATTCTTCCTTTTGAAACTTTTGATACAGCGCCTTTGTATACAAGCCTGCCACCTGGGTTTCCATTGACGTCTCCAAAAGGCTTGCAGGTTTTTCATTACAGTCAACATGGTCGGCATATAACTCCTCATGCCGCTGCTTAGCAAGACCTCGTTCAAATCGTACTACAAAATCCATCAACGAATTCTTTCGTGAAACATATGGCTTGAAGAAAGCATGTGAGCTTTCAGGTTGCTTACTACTCAACATTCCAGCAGAGAAAACATGTTTGACATAGGCTGGAACCCACTTATCACGCAAATCATAAATTGAACTCAACCAAGGATGATCATTTAATCCATTTTCTGTAATCAAGGTAAGCCATTTTGATTCAAATTCTATTGTTGTGTCTATATCCCATATGCAAGCATTTAAATCCGAGAATCTGTCTCTGAGTGTTGGGGGATTTACCTTTTCAGAAAATTTGTTCAAAATATGCCATATGCATAATCTATGATATGTAGTTGGGAGAGCTTGCACAATCGCCTTTGTCATGGCTGCTTCGTGATTCGTAATGATCATTTTGGGTGGTGGACCAGGCATGGCATTCTTAAATTGGTCAAATAACCACACAAAAGATTCGGTGGTTTCTTTACTTAAGAAAGCACATGCAAGGATAATTGTCTGCCCATGATTATTCACCCCTATTAACGGCGCAAATACCAATCCATAACGATTCGTGTTATATGTTGTATCAAACACAATCACATCTCCATAGAATTTATAAGCTCGTCTAGATGTTGAATCTGCCCAAAACAAATTAGTCAGCCTTCCACTAGGATCTGCCTCCATCTTGAAATAAAAAGACTCACTCTTTCTTTTCTCAGCCCCAAAATGCTCACTCAGCAGCTCTACATCATGCTCCAGCAGTTGCGTGCGCATGTTCGTTTCCCAATCGTAGAAATCTTTATTTACACACCCAATATTTTCCATTCCTCCTGCTTGTACCTCAAGATTACTTACTGGTTGATGAGTAGGTGTATTAACTACACCAATTTGGTCAATTTGGAGTGCTTTTCTTGATTCTCTAACATCACGGTGAGATCTCAACAAATGCACCTTATCTGGGGTTGTCAATGAATGGTTGTGTACCTCTTCAAACAACGAAATAGAATACTTGTTGGACTCGTGACACTTCACAACCCCAATCCTAGCCTTGCAATCTTGTCGTACTTTGACTCTGCGTCTTTTCCTTACCCTGCCTTCTGCTTCGGGTCTACAATATGTACCTTGTTTAGAACATACATATTCTTTCCTTTTTATCTCCCCCGTGAGTCTATCCTTTTTACTTGAATGACTGCGTATGCTGAATCCTGCCTTACTCAGTATTGAGTTTGGGTATAACACAAATGTCAGGATCCACACCATCACCATCTGCATTGCTACTATCAGTTGAGTCCCACACACATACATTCTCATCCATTCTCCCAACAGATTTCAATATTAACCTGAAAATGACATCAATTTAAAACCACATCAGTCTATTCAAATCCCCTTAATGAGTTGCAAAGTCAAATGAATCATAATACATACTAATTAAACTTAATAAAATATTATGAAACATAGTCCAGACCCGTGACTTTTCTACCTTCAAGCCAGTATCAACCTCTTCTTCCTTTTAAGTATGATTCTCTGGTTTGGGTGCAGGATGGAACCTGTTCTGAAAGCTGCTTCCAGTTCAGTTGCATTGCCGCTACCTCTTGTATTCCAGCACCATTCTTAAAAAACATGAAAAATCCATCATGATTTTGTTCCAGCAAGTTTTATACATAAATGTCATTCATTAATATAACTTGAATGAAATAATACCAATTACCAAGTATTTTATAAATATATGTAAAGACAATCATGCTGAGAATTAGTAGTGCTCAAACATTTGAAATGATTTCCAACATAAAATGAGTGGTTATTGTATAGCTAATTAAATTTGGGCACATATATAAAGCTGCTAAGTATAATAGTGCTCAAACTATAGTAATAATTAAAGCCCTGCCAATCTAGAAGTATATAAGTTCTATATACTCTCTTTCATGCGTCTGTCACACTAAGTTTATCGTCTACTTTTCAAATTCAGCATCATATAGTAAGACCAACATAAAAGATAGTATCTATTACAAATACTTGGTATATACTACCATACATATCCAAAGGAACAACTCATGCATCCCTACAAACTGTACTGCATGTTGTTTTTCCAGAACCTCAATGAGCTTTTGGGCTATAGCACTTGCATACAAAAAAGACCTTTCATCAAGAAGCTTGGACACAATCAACAATAGATTGATCTTCTCCTTCTACACAAGTTTTAGTATATACGGTAAAATACCTTCTTTGTGTTTGGAACCAAACTCAACAATGCAGCGTACTTGCTATTCAACTAGACTGTCTGATGCTTCTCGGTGGCAAAGTGTTTGGTCCCTTTGACATATCTTCCTCTTCAAATAGAACCCATTTCTTTGGAGAACTCCAAACTTCATTACCAAATTGCCTCCCATTTATTAATCCCATTTGGGTAAACCCCTCCTCCCATCCCCTCTCTTGCATCCCCACCACCACTATACTAAACAAAGGCCCATTTCTTGAGCCTCGCAAGCTGTACCCATGTGGGAGGGCAATTCCCTGAGCATCTAGCTAAGCTGAAAACAGTCGTTGCTGCATCCGATCATGAACACCATGAACAAAAATGCACTCATTGGGGCAATTCGTCAAACACCTTGGGGGCACATTTTTAGGCCACATCCCAAAATCAAAGGCTAATGCAAACTACAACTAACGCATCATTAATAATCTCAAATTTGACATAGATGAAATCATTTACCTGTAAATGGAGTTTCAAAACTCAGCCTTCGATGTGGTTGCCGCCAAATCTTAGAAAATAAAAGGTTTCGAGCTCACAAGTTCAATCTCTAACTTGAAATCTAAGCCGTCTACTTTGATCATGTGGCTAATAATGCAGTCCGCATCTACCCAAGGTGCGTAATTTGTGGGGGAAATTTTGTTAATTTCAAGCCATGAGGACATTTTGGTAATTTCATGCCAGAAATACAACCACCACAAGTCTTATACGTATAAGTGCTCGTTTCATCTTCTCTCTCTCCCTCTCTCTCTCGCTCATGGCTTCCAGACTCTCACTCATTTCCATTCCCAATCTTCCAACGCCAGCTAGAACATTCCCAAAACACCCTCAACAAATACCTCTTTTTTCTCTTCCACCTCATAGTTTTCATGTAAATCCCTCCTGCAATTCGAGGACCATTTCGAGCTCTAATGGAGGATCATCGCCAGCACTTCATGCTGTCCGAGAGGAAGTGATCCCATCCACCAGTTCAGATTCCATCAGTGATTCCAAAACTGCCCCTTCCTCCTCTTCCAAGGTCGTTCTCGTCATTGGAGGCACCGGCGGTGTCGGTATTTTCACTTGTTCCTTCTCTCGTTTGTAGCTCTTCATTTGCTTATAGTGCTCTTTATATGTATATATGTATATATTTCTTTTGCTTCTGAATTTGTTTCGAATTCCGTTGAGGGGTTTGTGTAATTGCTGTTTCTTTATGTGGGTTATATAGCAAAATGAGTCTTGTGATTGTGGAAATGCTAGTGAAGTATGTGAACTTAAATCAAACAATTATTCCTCTTTTTGGGATGCAGGTTTGAGTAAATGATACGGTTTTCCTCCAAGGTTTTTAGTTTTGCACATACCCTTTTGTGAATTTTATTGGGTACTTTGTAAATTTTGGTGCTTTGTTTATCTCATTTCAGGTCAGCTGGTAGTGGCTTCGTTGCTCAACCGGAATATTAAGGCACGCCTATTATTGCGTGACCCTGAGAAAGCAACTACGTTGTTTGGTGAACAAGATGAAGAGAAATTGCAGGTACCAATTTCTGTGTAGGTAATTATTCAAGAGATCTCTATCACTCAAATATTTGCTATATTTGTGTTATGTTAAAGCATCGAACCTGACTATAAGTGTTGAGGCCCTATGATTTTATTTATTAAGATGCAAAATTGTGACTGAACTGAGCCCTGGATTTATTAGAGGTGAGAAGGTGTCATTTGACATCTGGATTTATATTCTCAGCAATGTCTTCTTTCAGCTTAGTTTTAGAGCATAAATATGTTCTCTTTTTTTAAAACTTGTTTCCTTTCCTGAGGAGTGGGTATCATAGCTCTATAAAAACTTGATAGGTCTTCAAAGGAGACACTCGGAATGCAGACGATCTAGATCCATCTATTTTTGAGGTTTGCGCTTTTACTTTAGTTATGTATACTTTTTTTCCTATTTTCTGTATTGATAATGGGTCAAGGGTTAATGATTTCTGAATGAGTAATTTTAAAATGTCTTCTCTTTTAGGGAGTCACACATGTGATTTGCTGCACAGGAACTACGGCTTTTCCTTCGAAGCGGTGGGAAGGGGATAATACACCAGAAAGAGTTGGTTAGAGTTCTATTTTGAAATTTTAGCTTTATGAGTGAGCAAGTACCTGCATCTAAGGCATATGCATCATTTATTTTCTGTTTGGATGCATGCTGAAAAACAGATTACATCTGGATAGATTAAATAGATGAGCTATACATGAACACGCACACAACCAAAGATTGCCTGCTCATCTATACATATGCTTTCCGCGCATTTGACTTATAAATTTTTTAATGAAGATTGGGAGGGCGTGAGAAATCTTGTATCTGTACTGCCTTCTTCGCTGCAGAGAGTTGTTCTTGTATCATCAGTAGGTGTAACCAAGTTCAATGAACTGCCTTGGAGGTAAGACAAACTTATTTATGGATGTTGAGTTATAAAAGCAGTGCCTTTCTTTTGGTTGAGTGAGCACTGGCAAGAAACTATGTTTAATGATTTAATTAATATTAGGGGCCCTTAAATATTGTGTAGTTGGTTCTGAAATTTTCATAATTTCATAAGATCCCAGCAAGGAAACTCTTGTAAACGAAACTTATTAGTTGAAGTTCTCAAGCATAGAAACAAAGAAGATTATTTTCCTCAGTGCAGAGAAATTTCGAAAATAGTTGTGATATTTTGAGACCATAATGGTAAACCAAAGACTGATATAACATTTATTGGGATGAATATTCCTAGCATAAGAAAATTTAAACTTTTTTCTTAGATTAACCTTATTGGATCTATTATCTAGAACATTTATAGGATTAGGGTTAAACCTTACACATAAGGAATAGGTTTGGTTATCAATTGAGAGAAGCTCCACATGCACAATGTCTGGGTTGCACATCCACCTATAGGCCTGCATTCTCCAAGCATGCCTTTGCACCAATGGCTCCTCCGATGAGTCAAACAATACCTCCATGCTATTACGGCTCCAAAAAGGTTTTTGGTTATGCCACCAGTCTCCACAAACTGATGCACACAAAAGGATCACTAGGTTTATCTTGTCTAGACTTCCAAAGTGAGCTCCTCGCTGATTTCCTTTAAGAAAGTATCTTCACAAGGAGAAGATGAAGAGAGCAAAGTGTGGCCTCAATTTGGCGGATAAGGTTGCTAACTTTACCCTTCTTCATGCCATTTTATTTGTAATGGAATGGAGGAAGGGACTGCAACTGTCCCTTCCTTATAGGAGACACGCTAGTTGTAGGGATAAGGAAAGTATCCAATGGCTTGATTCTGGTTCTAGGCACTTTACAGGCTTATGCAGCGCATGTAGCTCATACAATCACGTGGGTACCTCGAATTCATGTATTGGGTAAATACATGGTCGTTCGGTGATTAACAATGGTTCAATGTAATATACCAACAAAATAATAATAATTATAATAAAAATAGTTCAGCATATGCATGGGTTCATTGTATGGCACAAAGCAATGCATTACATTTAATAGGCAGTCTCATAGACCTCCACATAAGGCTTGTGAACCCTTCTTTTGAGCCATGAATAAATTTACAGAAAATTTCAGCGAAGCTTATGTATTTCTCTAGGACTGTGGTGCAACCCATCCTAGGTGCAATGCCCAGAGACCTACAGGGTGGTGCTAGTAGCTTCTATACCTTACCTACTTACAATTTGCAGCAATCAAAGGCCAAAATTCCTGTCCTACATCATGAGAGAGAGAGAGAGAGAGAGAGAGAACTTAAAAGACAATATTGTTCTTTTACAAAATGGTGCTCAGAGCAATTAAAAATTATTTCTTAGTCATAGTGCAGATGCAATATTGTGCCTGTGCTGTTCTTCAGGATTAATGTAGGGGTTTTTATATCTCTTATCGTTATGGCTTTGAACAGTTTGAAAGTGTCACGTAAGCTTAATTCTGAACTAAACCATCTTGTACATCCAACTAGTTCACAATGAAGTGGTTTTTCAATCTTCTATTTCTTTCTCACATGGATTAATTATTTAAATTCTTTTATTTCTGTAGCATTATGAACCTTTTTGGTGTTCTCAAATATAAGAAAATGGGGGAGGATATTCTTCGTAATTCTGGTCTATCATTTACAATAATCAGGTTTGTGTAAATTGGTTATGTAACTTTTTTTATTACTGAGAAACCAAAAAACTATCATAGTAATTATGGCAGGCTTCCGCTTAGAGAAAAGCAGCTTTATATCCCTAAAATTGTTGCTTATATCGTATTTATACTTTCTGCTTTGCAGACCTGGTAGATTGACAGATGGACCTTACACATCATATGATCTTAATACATTGCTGAAAGCTACAGCTGGCCAACGCCGTGCAGTCCTAATAGGTCAAGGTACACTATCAATTTTCAACGAGCATTGCATAGATAGATTGCAGGTTCAGTTCTTAAGGCTCAATTATAGGTCCTATGGTCTTATACCAAAAATTTAGTCTTAGCACTGCAAAATCTTAAGACAAACGGATGAAGGCTGCTCTGTAAATTGAGCTAATGGAACTAAATCACTAGCTAACGATCACTACCTTAACATGGCCAACTGGTACAAAAGCTGCTTTGGCTGGAAAGAAAATTGCTAACATTGTTTTAGCATGAACCACGAAGAGAGTGGGAGGAGGAGGGGTTGGGTTGAATGTTGGAAACCGCTATTTTAAAACATTAGAGTAGGGACGATGGGCAATTATGAGTAGTATTACTTTGTTTGCTTATTTCATCAAATGTTACCTTTAGGGGGTTTATACCACTGACTTGCTATTCAAAACAGTTTATTCAGTTATTGGTGTCTTTAATGTCGAAATAAGAAAAGGGAATACAAGGTTCCATGATACTTTAGGATGGGCGTTGTTCATAAGTTTTCATATACCTTCACATGAATGTTGCTGCTGTTTAGATTTGTTTGCCCCAGGCTCTCTGAAACTTAATATAATCGATGCTCCCTTAGTAGGTGAACCTGGTTCTGAGAACATTGCTCAAAAGCTAGTAACTAATTTCGCATCAAGTCGCACATTGAACCTTAAATTTGTGGGAAGGCTTAATTTAGTTGAGTTGAATATATGGAGATTTAAATAAATAATTGTTGAATGAATTTTCCACAAGATACCAATATATTAGATTTTCTTGTCGTACATGCAAATTCTTCTGGTTTAGGCAGGGATCATCTTGTCTGTGTACATGATTTAGGGATGTGGCGTTAACTAAATTCCTTCCTATCTTATGTCTTTATCTTAATGGGTTTAATCATTTATGGGATCCAGGAGATAAACTAGTTGGAGAGGTTAGCAGACTCGTTGTTGCTGAAGCTTGCATACAGGCATTGGACATAGAATGTACTGAAGGAAAAACTTTTGAAGTTAACTCAGTTGAGGTAATTTTCCGGATATGATTGCAGTCTTGCAGAATATAGAGGGGTATACGTACAATGTATGTCTGGCCTTGCTTTTCAACGTCCCTTGGCATTTGAACTCAGAATTCAGTCTTTACTTATATTGATGTTTGGGAATGAACTTGAATTTATAGAGATGAAGGGAAGTTGGACAATTTGCTTGGTTGCCTTTATTATTTCCTCTCTTTCCTTTTCTCCTTGGTTTAGAGAAGTACACTGCTTTTGACCCCTTACCATTTGGAACACATTTGATATCGTTGCATAGTTCATTGGAGACCTAGGGGCATGTGATATAGAGAAAACAAGGAGGCCAGTGTTTATGTTAGACCCTTGTATGAATTAATTCCAATTAACCCTACCATATTCTGATGCTTTGAAGAAGTTCTTTCCAGTAGTAAAATCTAGTACTGTGCAGGGAGAAGGTCCAGGAAGCGATCAGCAAAAGTGGAGGGAATTATTCAAAGCTGCCCAAGCTCAATAACTGTACTCTGCTTCTAATTCATGCATGTATACTATGAATTGCTTGAAAACAAGAAATATAAGCAATGATCTGTCTGTCTATATATTGTAAATAATCACTATGTAATATTTCAATTTAGATCTGTAAATTTTGTCTAATGTCCTTCACTTTTTTTTTTACAGTTATGAATGCTCATTTCAACCTGTAAAAGCGATCGTATTTCCCAAATGTTGCACATTGAAAAGTAGTATATATTGTGGCTTTTATCTGAGTTCTTTGGTACCATTTCTTTGCAAGTTTTTGTTTTTGGCTTCGCCTTCAAGGCACAGTTCAGTTATTCTTATATGAATGACAGAATATGATTGAACTGCACAAAGTAAAACTGGCCCAACCTTGTCACTAAAATAATTGAACTGCACAACACAGAGTCCAATTAGCGTTTTCTGTTTTAGCAAAAGTAATTACTATATACACATCTGGATTCCAAAAGAAGAGAGGAAAAACATCCACATAGGGAAAACAAGTGCAACAGATTGGAACACAAAACTGCAATCTAATTTTCAAAACTGTTACTAATAAATTCTCCTTTCCTATCCCAAGGGCGACTTTCAAAAGACTTTCCAATTATACTGCGACTCTGATTTATAGTCCCGTCCTCGCAGCAGTACTCAGGAAAGTAATCCAGGAAGCTTTTGCTTCCTAGTTCATCAATTCCGTTAAAGAGGAAGTTCGCCAGCAAGTCCTAGAGATTATTTTAAGTCAGAAACTGCACTCATGTAACAAAATCAAACTCATCAATGTCCAATACCTTTGCTTGTGTCTCCCCAATCAACTTCTTTAGTAGTCCATGCCCAGGATCCTAATGTCACATGTTGTCTCAACAAAATAAGTCACAAAAACAGATGATAGGGGATTAAGCTGTAAAAGTCAAAGGCAATCAAGAGAGCCACCATAACTATCATTTGATATCCAAAAATTTCTTTTTTTAAAAAAATTTCTATTATAATTTAACTTATTAGGTAGATTTTTATTTTATTTTATTTTATTTTTTGGGTACAACTTGTTTGGTATAATTGAAAATACTGAATTTCCCTGAATTCAACAACAGTTCTGTTCTGAAGGCCCTATAAGTGAGACTGAACAGCTTTGAGAACAAAATGCACTGGTCTATTATTTTATTCTTCATACTCTTATGATACTTTCAGTGATGCATCTAAAACATTCGAAGAAAATAATTGCTTTCCTTTTCTTTGTTCTTTTAACTTAAAACACGGAATTTTTAGATTTGAGAGTGAGTAAACCAAAGACATGAACTATGACTTCCCAAAAAATCCATTCCAAGGTCCTAATATGAATCACAAGGAATCCATACATAAGAAAGGATTCATGAAACAATAAACCTGGCAAAGAGCATTAATCACCTTCTCTGCTCTCCATGTTAGATATCTATGTTGTGCTTCACGGTTACACATAATTTTAGAGGCATTTGTCTCCACTACTGCTTGGTCCATCAGCTCAAGCCATGCCTGCAGGAGCAAGAGGAAGTTCTAACACATGACAACTTGGAATTCTACAGTTTAATTGATATAGGAAGTACCATATAAATGTTGATATTCAATTCCACTTAGCAGCATAGAAAATATCATAAACTAAAATTTTGGGACATAAAATCCATCAAACTTATACCTTGTAATAATCCATGAATGCAGAATATAAAACATCATATTTGTAGGAGCTTGACGTAAATCTTGTCCATATCACAATTGGGGAAAAAAATTTTAAAGACTCGCCAGTAAGCTTTCCTCCCCAGGGTAAAAGCTGCATGAAATCTGTGTTCAGTCACGATGCCATATCTTTTAGAAAGGATTTGGAAATAACCACGGGATCAGCATTTACATTATATGTTCTAGTTCAAATCATTCTATTTACCTCAGCATATTTAAGGCCAAGAGGTATTAGGCCTTTATAGTATTTTTCTTTGTAATCTCTTTGACTGATGACATCATGCAAGGGATTGAGGTCCCTATAAATGATCAATTACGGGTAAGCTCCAAATTTAAAGTATTCAATATTTATACATGATACCAAAACGGCTTCAGAGAGAAAAATATAGTTATGATGTACTAAAATTATCAATTTGAGAAGATAAACATACTATAAGTGTCATTCGGCATCAAAAGAGAGTAAATGGTGGAGTTTCTAGATCCACCACGCCCAACATGAACAAAATAAGACAAACAATTTATCAATGTATCACAACAGAAAGTTGGACTTCTTTTCTATAAATAGATGTACTAAAGTTTGAGCTAATTTATAGCAATAATATGTATATGGTTAGCCAGATGTTGCAAAAGCATTGAATAGTAAAGTATAACATCATGTCAGCATTACCTACTCATGTACAATGGGAATTACTTTTCATTTTTCTATTGAGTTTTACTACATATTTTTAGAACAGTAACTTGGTTGGGATATTTCTCAGTTGAGGGAAGACAACACTATCAGTAATGATGTTTAAGATTAACGTAATGATATTGTCATAAAAGAATTGTAGTCCTATGATTACTTTTAAACAATTAATAAATAAGAGCTTACAGAACAACTATGTTCGTATTTGCACTGCTGAAGAAGTTGGCACAAAATATGGGCATATCAAATTCTGGTTGTGGGAAGACAGCAAAATCCAAAACCTGCACATGATTTATGATACAACAGTTATTGGCAGTGCAAAGTGTGAATTGTGTTATAGATCATAACAAAATATACAATATATGCACATGGTTTGAGGAAGGCCTGTCAATCGAGGTTTCCAAACCTAATCTCATCAAGCCTACAGATTCTCAGGCCATGACCAAGATCTTACTAATTCTCAGATTATCTCCTAGCAGCTTCAGCTTTTAAATTCATTTGTTTTTTTCTTCTTTGGTCTGATATATTCATTGGTTATTTATCAATTATTATAGTATTAGAGCAAAATATCATGTTATCAATTATTCATTGGTTACTTTTAATTCATAACCCATGTAATGTGTATGTTGAAACTTGAAATCGATAATTTCACCATCTCCTAACTAGTTATCAGTTGGAACAAATAACTAAACCTTCAGGAGACATACTTTCTACTAGCCTAACTTCCAATGTTTTCTCTTATTGTTTTTGTGATATCAGATATTTGAGCAAAGATTATGGGGATACCAATTGAAATTACATTTATATTGTTTTTTTTTTCCCTACTAGAATAGTAATATGTGAACTGTTACTAACAGGTAAAACAAAAATAAATAAAAGGAAAAATAATCACATGAAAAATCTGGACCTTTGAGACAGAAAATTTCAATAACAATATGGCTTCAACTCAGTTTACGGTTCACTTTCTAATTCTAATTGCTAAACAAAATCATGTGATACTCTAGTACCTTCACAGCGTCGAGAGTGAGAAATATTCTCGCATGACAAGGTAAATTTAATGCTGAAACTAGTCAGTAACCAAATTACCGTAGATAAAAACCAATCAGCCTCTTGTCAAGAAAATGAGTATGAATGGGGCTACAACACATTGCACACACAACAATTTTGAAGAATATATGTATACTGATGATTTCCAACTGAACTGTAAGAGATTTCATCCATCAATTTAACAAGCAACCCCCAAATGAACTATCTTTATTTTAATATGCAGGTGACATACATTTTGAAAATATAACAATGGTGGAGTACTAGGTAGTTGACATCATTGCAGCAGTATTATAGCAATAGCAAATAAAACAAAACAAAATTATTAAATCAAATGGAGCCACTGTGAGCTCTTCTATAGCTCACAATATAGGGGAAACAAAGTGACATATTACAGCATGATACCTGCATTGTTTGACTCTCAATGCAAAGGCTACGTAGAAGCCTAACTTTAGTAGCTTCGAATGACAACATTTCAATCTCTGATTTCCCATCCATTGAGATCCTAGAATTATATCTTTCCTGATGACACACAATGGAATGCTAGTCATGAATAGCAGAAATACTAAACATTATGACTGGTAATAATCATTGGTGAAATATTCATAATAATATACTATCACAGCATCAAAGAGTTCTCAAAAATGAAAAAGTTAAATAGTTCAAGAAATGGCCAACATGAAATTGCAAACCTTTTGAAAGCTAATCTAGTCCAAATAATGCATAAGAAAAAGCTGAATAAGTTCAATACAATTGAATTCTATTCTTGGTGAATTGCATCTACAATCAATGTTCCATCAGCTAACATGTCAATGTCATGATCTGAGGATACAATTCTATTTTTGACAGGATTTGGATAACCGAATACTACGGTGCTTTCAGCCAACTATGTTCACACTGTGAAAGATAGAGAAGCGTACCAAGAAAGCGCATGCTTAAGCATAATTTTTTTTATTATGAAACAGAACTTATTAATAAAAACAATAAAACACAGTACAAATACTCGGTGATTTTTGGAAATGTTGAGAAAAAAAATCAACCACCAATCAGGACGAGCCACATAGAGCCAAAATAGTCCTCTAGTTCAACTATAGGACTGAATGACCTGACCACCTACCCAAGCACCCTAGACAATGCCTCTCACCTTGGTCGAGGATGATCACCTTGGGTGTCGCCAAAAGGAAAAGATGGTAGCTTGACCTGAGGTCCCTCTTGATTTGAGCACTCGCAATGCTCACATCTTAGGTCCCAAATACTAGCTCAACCTGAGTACTCAGGCCTAGCACTAGCTGTATGCCTGAGGTCCCAAGCCCCTTCTGGCCCTTCAATCATAGATCAGACTCAAAGAAGAGATCCCAGAAACCTCAGAAAGGATCATCAGTTATGTGACTTGACACCCAATGGAAGGACTGAAAGCAGCTTCCAAACCAGACGCGCAAATTTGGAGATTGTAGTTTGAAAGATTTGAACTCAACATCTTCCGACCACAAAAGCTATGTTGCTTTACCACTACTTCTAAAAACTTAAGCTATTAGAATCGGGGCCAAGAGATATTTTATATTCTAATACCAACCATTCCTTTTCTCCCATATATGGTGAACAATCCGGTTAAATTAAGCACTTGTATTGGTGATGTATAACGATAATGATTATAAGGAATGACTTGGCACTCCACACCATTGGCAATCAGCAGCAGCCAACATAGTAAGCTCAGTTAAAATATGGGAGGAAGCTGCTCGATTAAGTTCATTTATGAC